AAGTGTGTCTCTGCTGCCAAACATGTCACGACAATGAAATGGTTAAAAACAGCATCAGCCACATCACTTTTATTAACAATGATAAGATGTTCTTCAATAAGTCTGGGATGTTTAAGAAGCCTTTAAAATTGTAAAGTCTGAAAAAAAAGAAATAGAAAATTGTTTATTTATGATTTTTTTGAGTGCCGGTAAGTGGCACAAACACAATAAACCACATATTTAATAATTGATGACATCTGGGATGCAGCACATCTGCGCTCCTTCGAGTCATGTTACATCTGTCCTGATAGCGTGAGTGATGTGTTTGTTTCATACGTACCATCAATAATCAGATGGAACTGCAGTAGTTAATGTTGCAGAGCAGTTAATTTACATATGATTAGGAGATTATGGCGTGTGGAAAGTACATGAGTTATTTGGCTCTGTTAACGAGATGTCAATAATAAATTGTCATAAAGCCTGCAGTGTCCCCGAAGCTGCTGGAATAAACAGACAGCGTGTGAGAAATACAGCTAGTTGTTGCTTGTTGAATGATCTTTATTGTTTATTGAGCATTTATCATTGGAACAGTTTAAAACACACCTGGGAAACGTTGGGGTTGAAGGACTCTCAGATGCGTTTCTTTGTTGAATTTTGCAGAATTCGATGACGGCTCTGATCGTGGCAGTGAAAGGCGGCTACACCGAGGTCGTCAAGGAGCTGCTGAAGAGAAACCCGAACGTTAACATGACCGACAAGGACGGCAACACAGCCCTCGCCATCGCCGCCAAGGAGGGACACACGGAGATTGTGCAGGACTTGCTCGACGCTGGCACCTATGTCAACATTCCAGACAGGGTGAGGCACACGACCACAGCGTCACCAGCCTGCCGTTATAAAATGTTTAGTATGAAATACAGTTTAAATGAAACACTATTCATGTCTCTCTGTCTCTTGTTTCTCTGTTTTCCTCTCGTCTTTCAGAGCGGGGAGACGATGCTGATCGGAGCCGTCAGAGGAGGCCATGTGGAGATAGTCCGAGCTCTGCTGAACAAATACGCCGATATTGACGTCAGGGGCCAGGTAGGAGCTCCTCTCCCGCTGTCTGCGCAGACTTATTGATATTTAAAAGCATGCGGGAGGCCTCCTCGTGTACACAATGTAAGGCATCACACTGTCGCTCAATGCTGTTTACTTATCCCGGCTGATTCTGGGTAGAGGGAACTTTTCTTCAGTGAGAACATGTTATGGTTACGTAAGCACACCTTCACACTCCATAAATGATGCTACACGTTGCACAGAACTGCTACGTGCAATACAGAATACTATATTGTAGTCACAGCTATACACACCTTTTCACTTGTAACACGCTCTTGTTTCTTCTTTGTCCTTTCCACATCAGGATGGAAAGACTGCCCTCTACTGGGCAGTGGAAAAAGGCAACGCCACCATGGTGAGAGACATCCTGCAGTGTAATCCTGACACCGAGAGCTGCACCAAGGTACGCATCGTCAGGGGTAAAAGAGTAAAACGTAATCCGGCTTTTCTCTGAATTTTTTATTGTTGCTTCTCATCTAACAAAGTTGTCTTCTTAATTCTCTTGAGTTCTCATCTTGAATTATTTCCATTCATGTATTAAATAAAATACGACTGCAGGCTTTTTTTCATTCACAACTGTTTTGGAAAGGGGGAACCGAGCTTTTTGCCTTTTTTTTCTGGAAGACAAGTGTGTAGGGAGTGGCATCTTTTTTCACTTGTGTATTGTTGATTGATTGTAAATTTGAGTGGCCTTTTATGTTCTAAATGAGCTCCAGAATCAAATGAACTTTGAGATGTTGTGTGTGTTTGTGTCGTAGGAGGGAGAGACCCCACTTATCAAAGCCACCAAAATGAGAAGCATCGAGATAGTGGAGCTGTTGCTGGATAAAGGAGCCAAGGTGTCTGCAATCGACAAGGTACAGTTTAAAACACGCTAAAAAAACCTCGTCGTAACAATACTCGTTTGTGATCTGGAGTTTCTGTTTTTAGTTTTTCGACGAACAGCAAATAGTAGTTTCTGCGTATTTCTTCCCTCAGAAAGGAGACACGCCCCTCCACATCGCCATCCGTGGGCGAAGTCGAAAGTTGGCCGAGCTGCTGCTGAGAAACCCCAAAGATGGCCGCCTGTTGTACCGCCCCAACAAAGCTGGCGAGACGCCGTACAACATCGACTGCACCCACCAGAAGAGCATCCTGACGCAGATATTTGGAGCCAGTATGACCCATTTATCCATTTCGTTTAGAAAGAAGTGCAGCAAAATAAACTTTGTTAACCTGCTTCATTTGACCTTTTTCTCCACTGTTTAACTTTCGTCCCTTCAACTTTCTGTCTTTCTCCGTCAGAGCACTTGTCCCCCTCGGAGTCAGATGGAGACATGTTGGGTTATGACCTATATAGCAGCGCTTTAGCAGATATCCTCAGTGAGCCCACCATGCAGCCGCCAATCTGTGTTGGCCTGTACGCTCAGTGGGGTAGCGGCAAGTCCTTCCTCCTTAAAAAACTGGAGGGTAAGTAATCCCACAGCATCAGAGAAGCCATCTAATGTGAGAAGAAGTACAGAAATGTGCTCTTTGTGCAGTGCCTTTCCTCATTTTCTTAACTAGTTCTCTTGTTCTGGCTTCTCCTGTTATCTCTGTATCGTCCATCAGATGAGATGAAGACTTTTGCCGGCCAGCAGATTGAGCCGTTGTTCGAGTTCTCCTGGCTGGTGGTCTTCCTCACCCTGCTGCTCTGCGGCTCAGTGGCCCTTGTCCTGGGCTTTACCGTTGATCCCAAGCTGGCGATCGCCGTCTCCCTCAGCCTCCTCGCGCTGCTCTACATCTTTTTCGGTGAGGAGACAGGCGAGCTAGAAATCGGATATTGAAAGGCTGCTTTCGTTTGACTCGCCCCGTAGTGACGTGAGAGTGAAAGGTCAGTTGAGCAGCAGCCTCCCTTCGGACATGTTCGGGCCTCTTAAAGAAAACAGATGCTCGGGGCTGAACCGCAGCTCGGGCTTTGTTACCATGCCATCCGGCTGTCCAAAGAGAATGTAGGGCAGGGTTTCTCAAGGATTTCTGACCAGCAAAATATCCAAAAATATTTTTGACCCCACAGAGTTTCCATCTTCATTTCAGTTCTGGCATATTTTCTGTTCTGTTGTGAGGGTTTGTGGGAAGCTTCAAAGTTAAAAAATAGACCAGTTGATGTATTTGGAAATTCCTTCAATAAAAAACATACCAAATAAATATCAATACACATGACTTAGAAATCACTTAAGCTTGGTGAGATGTCACAGCTGCATTGACGGAGCCACAAGAGGGAGCCATAACACAACTAATATCCTTTTCTTGAAACTCTTAAGATGTTGATGTTCAAGAACAGAAATCAAACACATGGAGCAGCAATGTTCACCGCCTGTTATTTCCTGTATCCAGTGTTGGTGTACTTCGGGAGCCGACGCGAGAGAGAGAGCTGGAACTGGGCGTGGGTCATCAGCACCCGTCTGGCTCGCCAGGTCGGCTACCTGGAGCTGCTGCTCAAGCTGATGTTTGTCAACCCTCTGGAACTTCCTGAGCAGACCACTCGTGCCCTACCTGTCAGGTAGCGGCGACGTACAGACACAGAAAAACATGTTCATTATTTTAGTCTTGACAAAAAAGCTTTAACGAAAAAAATGCGCTTACATGTTCACAATTGCTTTGATTGAAACGCTGGATTGATATGAGCTGCTCATTTTATTTTAATACACATTTTAGCACTGCTGACTATGATTATTCTACAGTATTAACAATATTGCTAAAATGAATCATTCAGTCCTATCTTTCCGTTGCTGTGCGCTCTGACAATACAACATAATTGTTCTCTTTCGCAGGTTCTTGTTCACAGATTATAATCGTCTGTCCAGCGTTGGAGGAGAGACCTCCATGGCTGAAATGATTGCCACATTGTCAGACGCTTGCGAGAGGGAGTTTGGCTTCTTGGCCACCAGGCTCTTCAGGGTTTTCAAAAACGACGAGGTCCAAGGTGACATCACTGTCTTTGGCTTTATGTCAGCGAACACACACAGTCACAATAAAAATGAAATTAAATTTAATGGAGATAATAAAGACTAGAACATTTACACATACCAGCTGACAACTTTTTGTCAGTTTCTCACAAGATAGATAGATAGATAGATAGATAGATAGATAGATAGATAGATAGATAGATAGATAGATAGATAGATAGATAGACAAAAATAAACAATACATGTAAAAAGCAAAATGTACAATAAGTGTAATACTGTCAAATAGAAGTAGGTTGAGGGCTGAGGTTCCTCGATGGTGCCAGTACATGTGTTGCTTGGTTTTTTTTTTCATTCGTCATGATGTAAATATAGCGTTTTTGTACAATGTGCACTGACAATGCAGCCAGATTTATCAAAGTGTTTCCTTCTTCATTTGCACTGTAAACCAGGCCCCTTGATAAGAAGGTTCTAATTGTCCCTAGCTTGCATCTAAGCAAAATTAGATTGTTAGGAATGCTGTTTAAGAATGGGACCAAGCGTAATGACATAGTCAGTGCAAACTCTAGTATTTCACTTTTTTGTGTTCTGCAGTGGTGCATCGCTGCGAAGTGAACCCCAAGCACACACTGACAAACAAACACAAAATGTTGAAGTGGTCATATGGAGAACTGGGACTTTTCCCGGAAGGCCGCTGCACAAATTGGGTCGGCGGGTCAACGAGAAAAGAAAGAGAGAGCTCTGTGGAACAGGCTGTGGTTGTGTGTGACCATCACTTCCCTTATATCTGTCGCCCTCCGAGCTAAATACGTTTGGTTGGGTTTGGCGGCTTCACCCGCCTGCTTACCGTTACGTGTCATGCTTGTAACACCGAGCTAGCCTGCAGTGGACTGGTTCTTACTTGCTTAATATGAACACCAATAATAATAGTGTGGCAAGGTTAAATCCAAAAATGTCAGTATTCTTCAAAAAGTTGAAAAGGGAGAATGAGCAGAGCAGCAGAGTAGATTTAGGACCACAGCTCACTTCCAATAGAAACAGATTTCTCTTGATCATCTTCGTAGTCGGTTATTTTTGAACGTGTCCTGGCTTTGTTATTGTAGTTGTGAACAGCAAGGAACTGTGAAATATAACAATTACACTGGGTTCTGCTGCGTCACTTCAAATCAACGTACGAGGCAGATTTTTGTTCCCCTTTGCCTCTGTGGGGTGCCATCTTCAAAGAGGTACAAACTTAGACTCAGCCACTGCTTGGGCACAGTGTATTGATTACCATAGCTAGCTGGACCTCTTTTTAAGTGTCAGTAAATAATCAAATGACCACGACTAGGCGAAAATGAATCGTCTCTAAAAGCTGTTTTTCTACTGATGTCTGCAAATACAGCTCCAGGGGACACGTTCATGTACCATAGTACGGCTGCTGTCAAAAATCCTAACACCAAACTGTTAAGCCAGTGGTTTCATCATTAACTACATCCTTCCTCAGAGTATTAACGGGGCTCCACACTAACTTTTTCATTTAGTCGCACCCCTCACCTTACCACAGGAAAAAACATGTGACTTGATATCTTATCGATAGACTCTACGCTTTACCGATGTTCCTTAAACGCCCCACAGTAGCTGCTGTTGGTGGCTGCGGTGCTCAGACAGGTGTGTGACCAAAAAAATAAAAAACTAGGGCGTTCTGGTGTCAGATTTGTGCAATATGAAACCGAGTGACTTTTTTTCTACATGCAGTCAGATACAGCGCATTTAGGTGTGATCCGTTTTTAACGAGAAGACCTCATTTTGAAGCGTAAAAACCGCAGCACACGAAGTTCTAAAAGGGCTGCTTCCCACCACTGTGGTTAACACAATAGCTGCCTGCGGTTACAGCGACACCAATACAGCCCAACGATCAACGTGCGCTCGCGCCAATGCGACCGCTTGAAATTTCTGATTTCTGAACCTCTCCAGAAAAGGTTGCGACCATTTTGGTTGCAGTCTGGAGCCCTGATTAATATGTGAGTGTAGGTATTATGCCACGATTTTGTCTGCTTTGTGTATCTATCTAATATTATTGTCTGTCTTTCTCAAACACCTCAGGTCAGAAATGGAAGAAAACTTGTTGTGTTCCTTCGTTTGTGCTGTTTGCCGTGACACTAGGCTGCCTAATCACTGGTATGGCACTGCTGGCTATCTTTAAGGTGGGTTGAATCGATTTAAAATGACTTTTTTGGGAGAGTTTTTAAGATGTATAGTTGTATGGAAACGCCTGCTCTGTTTTCTGTGTTGTAGTTCTTACTGAAGGAATCCACCCAATCACTGGCCAGTACATATCATCTATAATTCTGTAGTTGTTTGTGATGAGTTGTCGAACATGGATTCTTCATTAATATTTACCGAAATTCCTATTTTTTACTTTAAAGTAAGAGGGCAGGGCGATATGGATTCATTTGGGCAACAGGGGCCTTACCCAGTAGACTATCTGTAGACACAGTTCTGACTAAGTGCCTGTCTTTTAATTAGTTTTCCTCTTGTTCCTCCTCCTCAGGTGGACCAAGCGAATCTGACAGTAAATGCCGTGTTGATAGCCATGGCCAGTGTGGTGGGCCTGGCCTTACTGCTCAACTGCAGGACCTGGTGGCAGGTGGCTGACTCTGTCTTCAACTCCCAGAGGAAACGCCTGCACAGCGCTGCCAACAACCTGCACCAACTCAAGAGTGAAGGATTTATGAAGGTAGAACAATAAATACACTTTATTATTTGAACCCAATCGAGGATACGTGGAGCTCTCTGGGCATCTTAATGACGTAATGAATGGGACGTTCTATTGGCTTATGAAGTTTTGCTCTCTATTTAAATAGTACATAAACATTAAAAATGAAATTGCTTTGAATCATGATTTATTTTCCCACCAGGTTTTGAAGCATGAAGTGGAGCTGATGTCTAAAATGGCCAAAACTATCGATGGCTTCACCCAGAACCAAACACGCATGGCGGTGATCATTGACGGCCTGGACGCTTGTGAACAGGACAAAGTGCTGCAGATGCTAGACACGGTGTGTGTTTGCAGATAGACGATGAGATCAGCATCCTCTTGAAAGACAGCAAGCTAATGACAGAATGCCGCTTTTTGACATGTGCCACTCAAACAAGAAGTACAACCACGAACTGTTGTGGAGCAGCTGCTGTTGGCCTCAGCTTAAAGTGGCTCTTCCACCTGTGCACACGGAGCCCACACATGTCTGTGGCAGTGAAGCCACCTTGGTGTTCCCAGCTGCCTCAGCTCACCTCCAAGTTTAGATTCTTCCTCCCAGCTGCTGTAATGTAATTTCCTTTAGCCAAATGTTATTATTTGGTGAAGTAATCCCAGAGAAGATGGCAACCTCCTGTGTGCTAATGTAATCTTCTCTTCTCTGCGAGCACCTTCCAGTCACTCTGAGACCATCTTCCGTTGAAGGAGATTCAAAAAGCACGCTCCCTATTTTATAAATTGCACCTTTATTAATTACAATTTTTTCCCCCTTTTAGTCTCTGTATTTTTTAAAAATCAAATATTGTGCGCCTAAGATGTAAACATCATGTGACGGCGCCTCAGTCGAGGGTGTAGGCAGCTGCTTTAGGAACTGCAGTTCATCGTCCTGTGGGGCGAGCTCGAGGGTGCTGACCAGGGGTTAACAAACCATGAATGCATGTAACACAAATCAATGTCCTATGACACTTGGACAGTGTTCCTTAGTTAGCAGAGTGGAAATCCCCAGCACCATGTGCTGTGAACAGTCAGCTCTCACAGAAGTCATTAAGTTTAAATACTACAGATGAATATCAGCCTGAGTTGTCAAGTCATGGATTGATTCGATTGTGAGCTACTCATTTTGACGTTAAATTAGCAGGCACGCTACAGAGGGAGCTGCTGTGCTGAAAACTCAACAGGCTTGTATAGTTTTAGTAACATTACTAATGCAGTTTAAAAGGCAGTGAAAAAAACGTCATTTACACGTTTGGTGACTTTCTCATTCCAGGTGAGGGTGCTCTTCTCCAAAGGCCCTTTCATCTCCATCTTTGCCAGCGACCCTCACATCATCATCAAAGCTATCAACCAAAACCTCAACAGCGTGCTGAGAGACTCCAATATCAATGGACACGACTACATGAGGAACATTGTCCACCTGCCCGTGTTCCTCAACAGCAGAGGACTCAGTACGGCCAAAAAACTTTGCATGGCAACGCCCACCAACGGAGAGGCGGTCCCTGCCGAGGGTAAAAGACAAAATACACAACACACTGTAGTGTCTGAAAGTATAAGGGATGTGTAGGTTCAGATGCTGTTTTAAGTCTGAGTTTGTCTATTGACTCTTTTTGCTTCTCCTCAGGATGGCATGAAGACATGGACAGGAAGCTATCTCAGGGCAGCCTGGCCCCAGACCAGGCCAAGTTTGGCAGCAAGAGCACCCTTAATCGCAGGGTAACGGCTATTCAAGTCAAGTTTATTTGTTCCGGCCAATATTATGCACCATATGTTTTTTTGTGTGGTTTTCAGGCCCACATCAAGGGTTCTTGGCCCCACTCAAGCTTTGTAAATTAGGAAAACAAGGATGAGCCATGGTACATTAGAGAAATGGAAGGAGTGGCAGTACAAAGATGGTTTGGGTTGTAGGTTGAAGAATGGCATGGATGAGAGACGTAGAAATAGAAAGAAGTGGCGTTTTAATAAGTCCTAAGAGCCTCAGTAGGAGGCAACTGGAAGACATTTCACCTCTCATGCAATAAGCTTCATATTTACCTTTAACTGCTGGATGGGGATGTATATTCACCTTCATGTCCTTTGGCTAAAGACCCATAATGACCCAACACTCACATGCCTTGTGGTGTAAATGGCTGGAAAAACTGCCTAGTCAGGGGTGACTCAAGGTGATAACAGTGGTAAAGCAGTCCCTCCTTAATGTTACTAGTCTCGAGGAGAGAGCTAAAGAGTGCCTGATAACTTTTGTCATAGACCTCCTCCTCTATTTTGAGATGACTGTTTGAGTTTAACCAAGGTGTCTGCTTTCAATCCTCTCAAATCATCTGTCTTCTCTGTCTAGAATGTTAACATCATGAAAGGAGTTTCATTTTTCCTTTAAATACAAATGAGGTAGACCAAAACCAATAACAACCAAATTTTAAAAAATCAATAAATCCAATAAAAAGGTTTTGAAATACGAATAAAATGGAGACGGTTGTTTCGTAAACAGCGAGATAAATTTTTTTTTCATTACCCTTCCTCCCACAAAACCCATGTCATCCAGACATGTTCCTATTACCAATACTTGATCTCTTTAATCAGACAAAATGAAACTGCAGTCAGCTCACCACGGCTTGAACATGAAGCGTTGGGTTTGGGTGAGAAATGCTGCAGCATCACCGCTCGCCGCTCTTGCTTTTCAGCCTTCCTCCCTGAAGGGGGTGTTCAGTACAGGCGTGGTGTTGGCAGGCAGAGCAGAGGCCAGAGGACAGAAGGAGACACACAGAGACGAAAAGAGAGAGGTGCTCGGTGTGCGGCCAAGGTTCCTGGTGTAATTGATGTAATGGCTGTTTATCCTTCCTGCTGGGTTGCCACAGCCTAATGACAAGGCCTAGCAGCAGTGGGTCCCTGTGACAAAACACTGGCACCAGGTCTGCTGGCAGGAGGCTAAGTGACTCTGCTGCTGTCGCTGATGCCTTCCTCCCTCCTGCGAGACCTTCCCGCTACCCCCCCTTCCTTCCCGCTTCCCTGTCTTGTTTGTTTGTTTGACATTTGTTTGTACCTCGGGTTTATCTAGTACCCTCAATTATTGGTGTTGGCCCCTTTATTATGGGGCAGCGTTCTCTTTTTATATGCCCTCCGCCGCTAGCTAGCTCTTGGCAGGAGGGCCCTTTTTCTACAAGTGGAGATTAAAATGAGGGCAGGAGGGGAAAATGAATTAGTGGCTCTCCATTTTCATGTGGCTTCTCAAGTGAAAGGCGTTATGAGTATCTCTACATCTTATTTACACGAATTGGAATTAAACTAAGCGCCATAATGGGGAAAACGAGCATTCCAGTGCTTCTAAAGTACAAAAACATTCGCTTGAATTGCCCCGTGAAACTACAGTAAAAGTCAATACATGCTGGAAAGTCAGCCACACAGGGGTGTCCTTATGATAGACCTTTTCAGTTCTGACTGAGTGGTGGCCATATGTTTCATCTCTCTGAGAAAGAGGTCATGAGACTGGTGTTACGACTTCAAAGTCAACCAAAAGCCTGGCCTTGGCTCATGACCATGGCAGCTGTCTGATATCATCACAGATGTTCTCCGGTAGATCTGTGTCAATAGCTCGCCTGTGTGTCATGACTTCTCAGCTTTTTGGACAGTGGCTCTTTGATTTCGTCTTTGCTCTCACATAGGTTTAACACTGTATATGTTTTTCCCATTAAAAGACTGAATTTATACTCACTCATGTCCCATTAAGGTTCAAACCGTTGCTGGATTATCTTGATGGTCAATAACTGCTTGATTTGAAAAGCTGTCATGCAACTGTTTTTAAATTAGACCAAAATAGCCAACAAATGTATAATTTGGTTATGTATGTCTAAGTGGAAAAGTACACATGACGTCAAGAAACCTATCGTCACTTCTGCACGTGTTCCTCTGTTGGAGCATCGGGTCTTCAGATGACATAAACGGAGATCACATGGTGGTCCTGACATGCCTTTTCTCATGATGCACAGTGATGATGCTTTTTCTTCCTTCAGGGTCTTCAGTGTTTTACTGGTGCTTTGTCTTCAGAGATCTAAACTTTAAAGATTTTAAACTTCTAAGTACAACATATGGCTTTTAAGTGTCCTGTGTCTGTGTTGTTTTTCATTCGTGCCTTTGAGACGGCTCCTGTTTTCTTGGTCTTGTTGTTAAACTGTGAAATTTGGATTCAAACAAACTGATATGTTGGCGATATGTTCATCTTTGGGGGAAAAAATCCTGATAAAAATTGAGATTAAAACATTTTAAATCACGAACCTCATGCTAATACGAGTCCTTGTGTGTTAAGGACACGTACCGACGCCGCCAGATGCAGAGGACCATCACCAGACAGATGTCCTTCGACCTGACCAAGCTGCTGGTGACGGAGGACTGGTTCTGTGACATCAGCCCACAGACCATGAGGAGGCTGCTCAACATCGTTTCTATCACAGGTGACGACTGAACCGCTGTCTGCCGCTGCCATTAGCCTCATAACAAAACCAGTTTGTTTTTACATCAACAATGAAGGTGATTTAACAATTTATTTATTTTTGTTTAACAAAGAGGATTTGTTGGTTAATGTAAGTCAGCCACTGGGGACATATTACTGGGCATGGAGGAGGAAAAAACACACAACAGAGCTCTGGTGGGATTTAATTGTAGACCAGTAGAGGCTGCGTTTGATTGAAGAGGTGGACCATTGAACTATTTATTTTTTTGTAATTTTTATTTCTACCACTCATTTTAAATATGCTAGCAAAAGAACATTTATGGGAAAGTACCGTTACAATAAAAATCAGTTTCCATCCACTGAAAGCAGCAAAAATTATACAAAGTCCGACCTTAAGGGTTTCACATCCTCAGTCTTCTTTGTCCAGATTTTGTGTCCCTTTGAATTCTGACAGTGAATGAGAGTTTTTCCATCCTGTTAGTTTCTTGAATTATGTTGATCCACTCTTCGATGGTCGGAGGGTCGGATCTTTGAACCATTTTAATGAGTACATTTTACTTGGTCAACCCAGATCTATGACTAATTCAATTTTACAAGGTGTACAGTAACAGAACAAGCTACTCATCCTCTCCTCCACTGCTCACAGGTCGTCTGTTGCGGGCCAACCAGATCATCTTCAACTGGGACCGACTGGCGTCGTGGATCAACCTGACAGAGGAGTGGCCTTACAGGACGTCGTGGATCATCCTCTTTATGGAAGAGGCTGAAGGAGTGTCTGACCAGGTCACGCTCAAGACAATCTATGAGAGGTATACACGATACAAACCCACAGATACAAGATTTACAGGCTTCTTTAAGCCATCTACGTATTTTCTTTATTTCTCTCTCTTTTTTTTTTTTTTTTACTCCTTTCCCCTCTTGTTTTAATTTCTTACCATTCTTCTTTATCCAAGCTAAGGTCAGCGCTGGCAGACTGAGGACAACATTAACATAATTTGAGTTATCCCAATGGAAATCAGGCCAAAGGAATTTAGCCAAGTGACCCAGCTTCTGTTAGTAAAACACTGAATCTTCCCTGAAGAGATTAACAAGCCAGAACAAAATGTCAGAGATGGAGTCAATAAAGAATCATTTATTGTTCCCCGTGAAGTGCTGGTGTGAGTAACTCTGACCAGTAGGTGGCAGTAGAGGATTTTGTTTTCCGCGGAGGCTGCGTTATCATTGCACATTTTGTGCCACAGGCTGTGACTTCCACACGAATTGGCAGCTGACAGACAGATTTTGTAATTGATCATAATGTTTGAGGCAAATGATGACTGAATCGCTGCCTCGACGTCTTTAGATTCACAAAGGGACACTTTGACATGAAAACATGCAAGAGACAACTTAAGCTCGAATGTGGAGCAATAAAGAGAAAGTCTGGTCTCGTTGCGAGCGTACAGTATGAGTGTTCATGCCTGTGCCTGTGAGGTCACAAATGCTTTTAGGCGTGCTCACCGCAGACAAGAGGAGGAGGCCGGCAGAGGCTGAGTCGCTGGGTTTGGGTGCTGTTGTGCATCAGTCGCTGGCCTTTAAAGGTTGCACTCTGTCACAATACACTAGCGCCCACGACTCCTGCGGCAGGGAAGTGTCACAGACCGTTACTGTCAGCTAGTCAGCCAGCTAGATTCAGCAGACAACCCTCCATCCCCCATCTCCAACACAAACCACTGCCTCATTAGACCAGGTCTTTGGAGTTTGGGTTTTAAAGGACAGTAGGTATTACCTTTCATTTCTGTGTGGTAGTGAGGTATAATGTGGGAAGTAAGAGGGGGTAACGTACAAGGTGATATTCTAGATATGACGTGTGCCTTTATTTTGTTTGTTTATTGGAAAAATGTTGTGGAATAAAGAACAGGAAGATATTATATTATTATACTAGCTTTAAAATTCTTATATGTTTCTGGAGCTAACGAATGCCTGGGTTTAAGTGGCCCTTTCCACAGCATGGGATCGTACTTAGGCTGCTCATTAGACTTAATATAGCCATGGTCTTGTTTTTGACCAACGGTCCTGTCTTTCTTTATCTTCCTCTTCACTGGGTGTCTTTCCAAATGGCTGCTCTGTTCCGCAGCGGCCGTCGAAGAAGCCGCCTTAATGATGATGACAGGAAGCCTCAAACAGGCTAAACACGACGCCTTGCCTAGAGGCCTTATCTCTTGCACCAATCTTCCGCTGATAAGACTCAGGCCTCTGTCTGTGTATCTTTTTCTGTCTCTGCTCTTTTCTTCCTCTTTCTTATGATCTGAGGCTCTTTAGGTCTCTTTTTTTTTGTTCTGGATGAGTTATTCTCTCTTTTTCCCTCAGCGATGGACAGGCACTTGACTGGCCTCTAAGAACCTCAGGGTCTTCTTTTTTTTCTGACTGTCTGTCTGTTTGAGAAATAGATAGCCACTTCTCTTTGCTCTCCTTATCAGCAGCGTGTATGAATGCACACATGCATGCGTTCATGTGCACACATCACGTAGGTTTTTTTTTTTTTTCTCGGCGTCTTAACTTTTACCAGTTCCTTTAGCACCTTTTTTTAAATTTATTTCTGTTTCCGCAACACCATCGTGGTTCAGATCTCGCGTGTGTTCTTTGTGTTTTAGTCGATGTGTACAAGTTGTCGTGCTTAGCCATTTTTACACAGCAGAACTGCACATCCCCTGAGCGTTACTAAGTGAATATATTAGTGGTGAAGTGAACGTGGGGGTGAGTCAGCCCCTTATAGGTCAACTGTCGCCCTGCATCTCAGTCACAAGGCAGCGTGCTCTTCCTTTCCCCTCCACTTTGTAAAGCTTGCTGCAGCTTAGTACGCCACAGTGCACAGATTAGAAACACTATACATTGTAAATCACGGGGCGAACGAACTGTACAACTGCGGTGGGAACAAGAAATATTCTGTTTCCGTCTTAATCAGAGAAAAATACAAGTTTTAATCTTTCATGAGTCAGTTTGGGTTGTATCCTCCACCTAGCCTGTTCAGTTAAAACCAAATTAACTGCTCCTGAACCACATGGAAATGTTATATAAAAAAAAATAAATAACACCGGCTGCCTTCCATTGAAGCGGGTGACAGCCACTCTCTATGCTATGTACCTTAAACTCCTCGAGAAGACAGAAAAAAATAGAAACACTCACCCACCTTCCCTCCTATCTCACACAAACACACGGGCTTTCAAAACAGCTAAAAGCTTTTTTTAGCAACTTGCTTGGCAATAACAAGCGTCCATGAAGGGCTGTGAAGTGTCATTGTAGGACACGGCATAAAGAGAAAAGTGTAGCGCTAATTCCCATAGCGGGAGCGGGCCAGTACAGCCTTTCCTAATCTGACGGAGAATGTCTAATCGGTTAATAACTCCGGTGATTTGTATCATTAATGGTACGACCAGAGGCTGGCCCAGACAAATGCGAGGTAGCAGCAGGAAAGAACTGTGCAGCAGAAATGGCACTGTCTGTGGAAGATTTTGGCTCGAAGCGATCAAGCTTACACTCACACACACACACACACACACACACAGAGCATAGCTAAAATGTTTGTATCACTAGTTCTGCAGGGAAAACTACAAATTACACCTCGAGCAGTGAGCCAGCGCTGTGGCCTGCCCAGCACACTGACACAAACCGAAGAGAAAACAAAACAGAAAGCGCTTTGGACCAATACTCCTACTTGTAGCCGTCAAATTAACAACCCCAAATCCATCTTTCGAGTGGTGTTTTGTTGATCACCAGCAAATTGAATTCGAGGCCTGCAGCCTTGTGACTACTATTTTCGGTTATATAATTCCTTCCTTCTCTCTCCTCAGTTGTCCCTTGTTGTAGCTGCCATTAGAGATTTAATGACTGCAGCTAACCTGGCTGTCTTCTGCTTCATGGTTATTGCTTTAAAGCGGCCCTGCCATTTCCAAAGGCTGTTAATGGGCCTTTGTATGTTTATTACCTTGGTGTTGTTTAGAGTCATCACATTACATTTTGCCAATTAATGGAAGCTGTTCTGTAGAGTAACTTTATGTGACTGAGCAAGTTCAGGATGTAGTTCAAATGCACTTCTGTTGTAAACGGTTGGCATCGCACAGAGTTCTTGTTTTGCAGAGTGTGCCTTCTTTTTCATGATTTAGTAGCAAGTTGAGCCTTAACTACAGGGAATGTAGTGTACATACGTCATCTTGCATTTAATATATGCTGTGTAAACATGTACAAAGTGTTAAATAATGGCTTCCTAGTCAATAGAATGAAGGTTAATCACAGGCATCACTAAAGAAGACACAACAACAACTAAACTGATAGTCAACACATAGTAAACAAATCAGTTTAACAGCTAAACAAAGAAAAAATGATTTAGCTTCACAATGTAGAGTTAACGCTGGACACTACACTTAGTAGTGTGGTGGCTTGTAAAACTGAAATAATTAGTCTGTCGATGCAAAATATAGAATTATTGTAATTTTCTAAGCAGAGACTTCCTGGTTCCAGCCACATAAATGTCAAGATTTGTTGTCTGCTGCCCTTTTTTCCTTCTATAACAGTGAATATCTTTGGATTTGAAGTATTAGTTGGACTAAAAAAAGCTGTTAACACGCTGTCTGGTAATTATCGGTTACTGTTTCCTGATATTATATAGAAAAGTTGATTAAAAACGAAATAATAAGCAGACCATCACAAAAACTCTTGAATGTGTGCAGACATCTTCAGCGATTGTTAAATGACATCTACTCATTTTTACATTTTACGTCAGTGGTGATTTGTTTGAAAGAAAAGTAGTTTTGGTTGTGGGTTCAACATATTTTGGACTTAATGATGTATGAGGGCGGGTTCAATCAGACCCTCAGAGAGTTTATTCCTGGACGCCCAGATCCAGTTTTCAGCGCTAGAAAAAAAAAAAAAAGTGTCACTGGTCCACTGAGCAGGTTCCTGCACTGCTCTGACATCTGGTGCCCTGTCTGTGCCAGGATGCCCCCGCTGCACTCAGGAGTGCATTTCTGGCGCTGCACCTGAATCTTCTGTTCATTACACACCCACACATACACACACACAAACCAGTGCATGCAATACACCTATAGACACACACACACACACACACAGTAGCTGTAGTAACGCATGCACGTTCCACCACAAACAGCATTTGTTCCTACAAGCTTTTGCAATTGAACTTATGCATGCACACACTTCCAATCACATACACACATGAGGTACATATAAAAGTCACACACACATTTTCACACACATGCTTTCTCACACACACAGCTAGCTCTGACACCAGTGCAAGAACATATGTCACCCCCAACTCCTCTGAGAATCAGTGTAATTAATCAGACCCTGAGATGCAGGCTGTGTTCAACAAACGCGCATACGCACACAGGCGTTCACACAGCGCAGGAAGCAGAACGCAGCAGAGGAATTGTTGTCAGGTAAAATTGTGGTGTTTAGAAATGCAGTGTCACTGTGTTTCCTCATGTTTGTATGTGGAGGGGAACAAAAAAAAACCCCTTCAAATCTTGATGCACTGTATTTTTTTTAATCGTTAGGGTCAAGGCATGTCATTAATCAACCACTGCTCTCTTCCCCTCCATTTTGTTAGCCTGACCCTGCGTTCATCCACCAAACAATCAGTCTTTCAGAGACGTGACTAGAGCCAGGCACTTCTTGGACACTTCAAAACTTTTTTTTTCTTTTTTTTTTCTCCTCACTAATCACAGTCTGAATGAATATGTAGCCCGGCAATTCACTCTTAATTAGAGAGACTCTTATCCCAAGTACTGAAACATTAAGATGACACTCTCTTCATTCAGGATTACTTTAATTGGCACAATTATTGTAATTTGGTTGTAATTATGTACAGGGATAA